ACGATCAATCAATGACGAGAGCTAAGGAAGATCGACTCGTGGAGAGGATCGGACAGTTGGAGAAAGATAACTTCGTTCTTCGTGATCGAGTGGTCACTTTGGAGGCTGAGAAGGCCCAATTATTTGTACAGCCATCCTCTTCCCACACTTCAGATTTTTCCAATGTTCCTTGGAGTTATATGAGGAATGGATTCATGTCGAAACCTAGTTATTTGTCTTTCGAGATTTGCATGCGGCAGGATCCATTTCTGAGGCTGCCCTCGAAGATGTTCGTGTTAAGGCTCGTGAAGCTCGAGTCGCTTGTAGATATGATCCCGCTACACCTGAGGTCGATGAGGAGGAGGGAGACGAGGGTGTAGACTGACTTGAGGAGAACGCCTGGTACGATATCTCTTATCCTGAGGGCAAAGGTGGAGATGGTGAGGGGGACCGAGATAGTAAGGGTATCGGTGGTTAGGGTGGCTACGCCATTGAAGACTGAGTTGGCGAGGGCACTGAAGGTCGTGATGGCGGCGATCAATAGTTTTATTTTTGACTTTTTGTGTATTTTTGTCGGCGTCTTCACGAGCCTTTGTAAACCTTTATGTATGAAATATCAAAGTTGTACCTTACATCTTATTCCATTCGTGTGGTTTATTTTATGTACTTATATGTTTTTTGCTTCTATTATTTGTGCGTTTTGCTTTTGTCCTTATTGTTGTTATCTTTTAGTTGGTCGTGGCCTTGGAGCTGAATATTTATGGGTCGCGTGCGTTTCTTTGTTGAGATGTGGCCGAGGGCCGATAGGTGTTTGTTCGAGCTTAGTCGAACGTAACCTTTCGTTGAATCGCAGTCGAGGGCTGGTAGGTATTTGTTCAAGCTTAGCCAAACATAACCTTTCTTAAAATCGTGGTCGAGGGCCAGTAGGTGTTTGTTCGAGCTTAGTCGAACATGACCTTTCGTTGAATCGCGGCCGAAGGCCGGTATGTGTTTGTTTGAGCTTAGTCGAACATAACCTTTCGTTAAATTATGGCCGAGAGCCAGCAGGTGTTTGTTCGAGCTTAGTCGAACATAATCTTTCGTTAAATTATGGCCGAGGGCCGGCAGGTATTTGCTCGAGCTTAGTCAAATATAACCTTTCGTTAAAGTGCGGCCGAGGGCCGGTAGGTATTTTTTCGAGCGAGGTCGAGCACAACCTTTCGATAAAACACAGTTGAGGGTCAGCAGGTGTTGTTCGAGCGAGGTCGAACATAGCCTTTCGTTAAATCGCGATCGAGGGACGGTAGATGTTGTAAGTTTCTTTTTTACTTTGACATTGTTGCTTTGGTTACATACTTGGAGAAAGTTACAGATTTTGGGTGTTGGCTGGTGTTCCAGTCCCAGTCTACCTAGTCTCTTCATTATTTGACTTTGAGAGTATTGAGAAGTAGAGAAATGAAATAGTAACAATGTCCTTTCCCTCGTGTACTTCGACTCGAAGTGTTCCCTTCGCCGCCTCGTTAAAAACCTCCTTGAGAAAACCCAAATGGGACAAAACTCAAGTGAGGGAAAAAGAGTACGACTTGGGGACACTTTTTCTCTTAGAAGTAGAAGTGTTTGAGGTGGCTGATGTTCCAGTTGTTTGGTAGTTGCTTTCCTTCCATTGCCTCTAGTTGGAATGAACCCTTGTTCGCTTTGGCTGTGATTTTGTACGGACCATCCGAGTTTGTTGTCAACTTGCCTTTTCGGGGTCTTTACTCGCTTGAGTTTTGGCTTTCAGTACGTAGTCTCCGACTTTAAGCGGTCGGACCTTTGCTTTCTTGTTGTAATAGCATTCTGCTTGTTGATTTTGGGCAACCATTCTTATGTACACCATATCTCTTCGTTCGTCGATTTCGTCAAGTTCTTACCTTCTCCTCTTATAGTTACTCATGCCGCTTTCATGGGAGTACCTTAGGGTGGGTTCTCCAACCTTGACCAGTATTACTGCCTCGATCCCATAGACCAAAGAGTAGGGCGTCTCTCCTTTACTCGACTTCGGAGTTGTTTGGTATGCCCATAATACTTCTGGTAGTATTTTCGGCCGCAATCCCTTGGCGTCTTCGAGCTTTTTCTTCAAGATGTTTAGTATCGACTTGTTAGAGGTTTCTGCTTTCCCGTTACCCACTGGATGATATGGGGTTGATAGTATCCTCTTGATATGCTTTTTCTCAAAGAACTCGAGGATTTTCTTCCCCGTGAACTGGGGTCCTTTGTCACAACTGATCTCCCTGGGTAGGCCGCATAGGCAGATGATGTTTCTCCATATAAAGGTGATTATCTCATGTTCTCGTATTTGGGCGAATGCTCCTGCTTCCACCCATTTAGAGAAATAATCATTTCAAACCAAAAGGAATCGTACATTACCTCGCCTTGCTGGGAGGGGACCCACGATGTCCATTCCCCATTTGATGAACAACCAAGGGGAGGTGACTGAATTGAGGTGTTCGCCCGCTTGGTGAATCATTAGGGCGTACTTTTGGCACTATTTGCATTTTCTCACGAAGTCTGCTGCGTCCTTTTTCATGGAGGGCCAATAATATCCCGCCCGTATGAGGCATCTGACCAGTGCTTGAATGCCGGAGTGAGCATCGCAATGGACTTCTTCGAGGACACGCCGGGTTTGATTCGGGCCCAAAAATTTTGCCAGAGGGCAGCCGTAAGGCCTCTTGTATAGGTCGCTATGAAGGAGACTGTATCTGGTCGCTTGCATTCTTAGTTTCTTGGCTTCTTTCTTGTCCCCTGGGAATGTGTCATCCTGCAAATATGCGATAATGTGATTGCGCCAATCCCAAGTTAAGTTTATGGTTCTTACCTCGATTTGGTCTAGTGATGATTTGAGGAGATGGACTACGCTTTTATCCCTTGTCGTGATGCTTCTGGTACTGCGGCCAGTTTGGCGAGGCCCGTTTTTTTCGGCATTCTACGCCCGTGGGATCTGGTCGAGCTGGAATTCTTCGAACTCAGGTAACAGCTTGCATATTTTAGTCATGTATTTTTGCAACCTTTGTTCCTTGATTTGGAAAGTCCCAGTGACTTGGTTGACTATGAGCTGGGAATTACAGTGGAGTTTCAACAGTTTCGCCCCATACTAGAGCGCTAATCTCAACCCTGCAATTACGGCCTCATACTCGGCCTTATTGTTAGTCATATCCGGGCACCTTATGGACTGGAAAATTATTTCGCCTGTAGGGACCTCGATTACGAATCCCAGTCCTGACCCTGATGCGTTAGGTACGCCATCGGTGCACGGCACCCAGAGGTCTTGTGTTTGGAGGGAATCTTGGACGGCTTCCCTTTCGACTTCGGGCATTATTTTTGTACTGAATTCGGCGACAAAGTCGGCAAGCACTTGCGACTTTATCACCGTTCATGGCTGGTATGTGATATCGTGCTTGCTTAGCTCGATGGCCCATTTTCCAGCCTCCCTGATAGCTCAGGTTTATGCAAAATCTCCTTAGGGGAAAGGTTGTGACGACTGAGATGGGGTGGCATTGGAAATAGGGTCTAAGCTTTCGTGAAGCTATGACCAAGGCCAGAGCCAATTTTTCGAGGTGCGAGTACCTCGTCTCGGTGTCGACGAGTGTTTTTCTAATGTAATAGATAAGAGATTGCGTACCTTTGTTATTGCGGATCAAGACTGCGCTTACCGCTACCTCGGAGACGGCTAGATAAACGAGGAGTTGCTCCCAGGTTCGGGTTTTGAAAGCAGGGGTAGTGAAGATAGGTATGCCTTCAGTTCTCGCAGAGCCTGAACGTACTCGGGAGTCCATTCGAGGCCGTTGTCCTTTTTTAATATGCCAAAAATTTATAAAATCTATCATACGACCGCGAGATGAATCTTGATAGAGCGATGATTCGACCAGTCAACCTTTGGACTTTCTTCTGGTCTAGTATCCCCTCCATAACTTTGATTTGGTCTGGTTTGACCTTGATCCCTCGTTGCGACACCAAAAATCGAAGAACTTTCCCGAGGCTACGCCAAACGCGCATTTCTCCGAGTTCAACTTCATTTCGTACCGTCTGTGTATGTCAAAATTTTCTTTCAAATGATCGATGTGATCCTTTGCCTTTTCGAACTTGACCAACATGTTGTTTATATATACCTCCATAGTCTTACCGAGCTGGTCTTTGAACATCTTTGTTACAAATATTTGATATGTAGCCCCCGCGTTCTTCAGCCCAAACGGCATGACCCTATAACAATACGTTCATTGGTGGGTGATGAACGTGGTCTTCTCCTGATCTTCTTCCTCCATAAGAATTTGGTTATAGCCTAAGTAAGCGTCCAAGAAACTCAATAGTTCATGCCCGACTATTGCGTCAATGAGTTGGTCGATATGGGGTAATGGGAACAAATCCTTCGGACATGCTTTGTTCAAGTCTGTGAAATCCACGCACATCCATCATTTTCCATTTTTCTTTTTGACCATCACTACGTTGGCGATCCACTTGACGTACTTCGACTCCCTGATAGAGCCGTTCTCTAACAGTTTTCCACCTCTTCGCGGAATGCATCGTTGATGGCGGAGTTGAATTTACACCTGACCTGTCTTACTGGGGGTGGAACGGGTCGACATTTAATTTGTGTACGGCGAATTCCTTTGAGATGCTCGGCATATCTGCATGGCTGAAGGCAAACAAATCTGCATTAGATGTTAAAATTTGCCTGAATTTACCTAGTTCTCGGAGTTTGCAGCCGTTATAGGCCTTTTTGCTACGATCGTTGAGGTCCAATTAAATGGGGTCGAGGCCTTCTATGGTCGAACCTGCAACCTCGACCGTGTCGGGATCCATGATGACGTCCCTGATCTCTTCTTGTGTCGACCTCGACCCTGTTGATTGCTAGGCCTCTTTTTGCTTGTCTTTTTTCTGTTGGATTGTCATGTTGTCTAAGGTAATGCGGTGGCATTCCTGGGACGTGCGATGTTCTCCGCGTATATTGAATATTTCCCATGGTGTTGGGAATTTAATTACTTAGTATAGGTTGGAGGGGACGACTTTCATGGGATGTATCCTCCCACAATGGAGTTGTACACGGTGTCCTGGTCCATGATGTGGAATGTCGTCTCCACAGTCATGCCGCCGGCCAAGATGGGGAGTGTAATTTCCCCGGACGTCCGTTCAACTACATTATTAAAGTTGATTAGCATGATGCGGCGTGACACAATCTTGTCCTCGAGTATCATTTGGGTGAGGACTTGGGGATGGATAATGCATGATCCACTTCTATCGTGCATCATGATATGTTTTACATCGGTATTTAAAATGTGTAAAGTAATAACGAGGGCATCATTATGAGGAAAAGTCAAATCGTTGGCATCTGACTCATTTAAGATGATACTTACTTCGATTTTGTCGTGTCGTTCGTGTGTGATAGACCACTTGATCTTATGAGTGGTGGTGAATTTCACGCCGATCATAGAGGCGTCATCACCGCCGCCGATGATCATGTTGATAGTACGAGCTGGTGATGGCGGGCCTTGGTATTCACGTCCTCTAGCAAAATTGGTTCTCCCCTTGTCGCTTAACAACTCTTTGAGGTGTCCCAGCCACAACATGTTTATGACTTCTTGTCTGAGGGCGATGCAATCTTCAGTTTTGTGCCCTCGTTCCTGGTGTAACACACATAGGGCATCGAATTTTCTGGTGTTTGATTCTGATCTCATCTTCGGCGGCCACTTCACCTTTGCTCCGAGTTTCTCAGGAGCATAGACTATTTCTGTAGGCGACACATAAAAATTATGAGCAGATAACAAAGGGGCATACCTCTTTCATTCCGGTGAGTCCGTGTCCTTGGCCTGGATGGGCCTTCTTTATAGCGGGAGGAAGTGGCCGCGACCGCCCTGACATATGGTTGATGTCGTTCCCTATTCGGTCACGGAACCTGGTGATCCCTCCTGATGTTGTCTCTTTGTTCCTTTCTGGATTCGGTTTGCACCGATGCTAGCCAGTGAGTTGGTCCGTTGAGGTCGTCTTCGTCTTCTCGGACCTCGGCGCAATAAGCATTATGGATTTAGTCCCAAGTGGTTGGGGGATATTTCATCAATCAGCTCAACAGTTTTTTAGTTGCTCTTGAACCATCCCTACTCAGTCTGTTTTGGAAAGAGGGCAATCGCTATACCTTCGGATACGTTCGGCAGAGTCATCCTTACTCTATTAAACCGGACGAGAAAGTCCCTTAGTCTATCTCCCAAGGACTGCTTAATAGTGAATATGTCGTTTACTCTTGCTTCGGCTTTCTTGGCTCCGGCATGGGAGGTTACAAACTTATCGGCCATTTCCTCGAAAGTTTCTATGGATCGGGCTGGTAGCTATAAATACCATGTTAATGCCCCTCTCGTAAGCGTTTCACCAAATTTCTTCAGCAAAATAGAGGACATTTGTTCCTTGGCGAGGTCATTGCCTTTCACGGCAGAGACGTAATGAGTCACATGATCCTCAGGATCGGTCGTTTCATCGTATAACCTGAGGTAGGGTGGCATTTTGAAGGTCTTTAGTATGGCATATGGGGTTGCGTCATCGATGTATGACTACTCTACGAACCTTCCTACGTCCCTTTTTGGCAGCAGCTTAGGAGCGCCCGGTATCTTGTCGACTCGTTCTTGGTGTTCTTTCATCTGGTCTCGGAGCGCTTTGTTTTCATTCTCCATTTCTTCCATTCTTTTTAGAACGGCAACGAGGGCACTGTCACTTGAACTGTTAGTAATATTGTGAGTTATATCTGCCGTTGGAGGGTTTGGTCGGTTCCATTGCTCGTCTGTTAGTTGTATCATGCAAGCTCTTGCGGTTTGTGCAGTCATGCCTGGAGCAGGTTTGTTGAGGACGCTCACTAGCATGTCGGTCAGCCATGCTTCGAGGAGTTTTTTCACAGCTGGGGGCGTTCCTTCTTCTGCAGACGTGGAGGCCCTTTTTCCACTGTGTTTTTTTATGCTGCAGTGTGGGGGAGGCGACCTCTCGCGCCTAGGGAATGCGTTGGGCGTCACGTCCTCGCCTACTGTTTCGCAACTTCCGTTGATAACATTCATGAGATTTCTTGGAAAGTCACTTGTTATTTTTGTCCTTTCTCCTTGGTTAACTACCATGTAAGGTTTTGTACGCACAAAGAAAGGAGATCTCGGGGTTTTTTATGTTAGTGACGTGCGTTAATTATAGATCTAGAAGAAACTAAAAATTTAACTAAGAAATCCCCACAGAAGGCACCAAATTGTTCGACCAAAAAATATAGATCTTGGTTTAACTAATTAAATTTATATAAATGAAGGTTAATCTTAGTTAACAATAATATCCCAAAGATGAAGTTCCCAGAAATATAATAAATACTATGCAGGAATATTTTAATGGCGACGACAGCACACAACAGTATTTAAGAAGTCAAAGGAAATAATGTAGCATTAAATATTGATGAATAGCAATAAATGGCATTCGAGTAAATAGAACGAATGAGTCACCCAAGAAAGAATGGAACCAGTGAATGTTCTTTCTCACAATGATGAGTGATGGATAATCTTTTGAATATCAGAGTTATTCTCTGATCCAATGAAAAAGTGTAGACAAGAATCTTAGTAAAAATGTGATATTTTTATGCTTGCAATAAGATCCAATTCTCTCTCTAAAGTCAAAGTGTGTTTTTACAAATGAATATCATATATACCCAATCATTGTTTCTCTTTCTATTTATAGGGAACATATTCCTAAAACCCCTAACAGTACAAGTGCAGAGAATATCCACTAGAATATTCTCTTTTATGTCCTATTTTGAAACTAGCCGTTATAACTCTATCAAGTGTGCTCGACCTCGGCCTCGATCCTTGATGACTCTTCAACCTCAGTACTTGTTGACTCTTCAACCACGGACTTCGTTGCTAATTAGATTACTTCGACACGTGGCGTCCTAGAAATATTTTACTAATACCATTTCTACTAAAGAAGGACTTTGACCCATACAAGACCTACTTGTGAAATTATACTGGATTTTTTGTTGTTGTTGTTGTTGTTGTTGTTAGCATCAGAGCCAAACATATTTCAATTATTGGTTTACCCGATGTTAAGCCCCCATATTATATTGTCACGCTCTAGATATCCAATACTCTTGGGCGTGTAGGGTGTTAAGAATAATCTCACATCGGTTGTGAATGTGATAATTGATCTCTTTGTGTGATTTTGGATAATCTTCGCCTCAAGAGTTAACTTTTGAGGTTGTGTTTGATTCAAGATCTATTTTTTATGGGTGGATCTAGGGGCATCAATGGATATTTAAAAACCGACTAAACCTACCGAATCGTACCGTACCGAGTCGAGTTTTAGGTTTCTTTTAATAAAACCGTAGGATTTTATATAAATCTATAACTGTAGCGATAATTAAGATAGGTTTTAAATTTTATTTTTTAAAAAAAAAATACCGAACCGTACCGAATAATATATTTATATATTAAGTTTAAAAATAATAATGCATTAAATTTTTCTTTGGGACTTGAAATTATGAAAACAGTTACAAGCCAACAAGTAATTAAAACTCAAAATTCTAATTCTCAAACCTATTATCTTACTCCTATTGAAACTAAATTATTTTCAGCATATTCACTAGCAAGACACAAGGTATATTTTAGTGATTATGAGTAGCAAACTACAATGTATCGAATATATTTGCTTTCATATGATTTAGATTTTATCTTTTGAATATTTAATATTTTATAGACTTTATTCTTGAGTCCCAGCTTGGTTAATATCTTTTCACGTTGTAATTTATATTTTCTTTGTATTTACTTAGTTTCTTTTTACACTGTTGTAGAATAGTTGATTGATCTATACTCTGCCTATCTTTCATCTTTTCTTAATTCATTACCCTTTAAAAAATAAATTTTTTTTTAGAGTTTTTCTAAGTTCTATAAAAGTACGTATATTATTGCATTCTACTTCTACTAATGATTTTTACATGATATTTAAAAAAAATACCGAAAATTAACCGAACCGTACCGATACCGAAGAGAAAACGACATGATTGGGACAGTTTCGAAAAGTCTAATTTTGATTATACATAATAGAATAACTGAAAAATTGGTATGATACGAATTATATAAAATAATCCGCCGAACGGAACCATTGACACCCCTAGGTAGATCTACCGACGAATTCAAATTAATCAGACCAACGAGATGAGTTTTGAATACTTGAAAATTAGCATATTACTCTTCTTTTTCCGATTACATATGGTAAGCTTTTAAGTAATATGATATTGTAAATATTCCTAACTGTCAATAGATGAATTTATTAAACTATTCTACAATGTATCTATTCAGTTTCGTTTATGGGTACAAAGGAGGAAAATCTTACCTTCCATAATTCCTCAAATTGTTTTTTGATCTAACGTCTTTCTCATCATCTCAGATTCTCACTCATTTTTTACCATTTGAGTTAGCTTTAGTTTTGTTAGTTACCTATCTCTATCCGGTAAAACTGACCATTTACTTCCCCTAACCAAACGGTTGAAATTTCCAAACAGATCGCATGGGCCTCTTTAGCTGGAAAATAAAGTTACAGGAGAGAATTAAATCCTAGATAGCCGCCGTCCAACGCTTAAATTAAAATTAGTCGGATGTATAATATATATATATAAGGTAAAACTATACATTAATTAATCATATGATTAAGATATATAGAAGTGCATGTAAAACAACACACTTTTATTTATTTGTTTACAATATTGTGGAGTTCTTTGGGTGCAAAAACCTCCCACTGATAAATTTAAAGTCTGCAGCTTATAAATACTTATCGATCGATTTACAGTTGTTGCATTTAATTTGTCTGCTAACCCCACATGCACATCGTGACTTTACTTATATCTAATCAATAATGGACTAAAATTGACGAAACTATTTTTCTCTACTTCTTCTATATTTTTCATTTGCTCTTTAGGGGAAGAAATGGGTATGGGAGTGTTGCTTTAGCCCATTAGACAAAGCAAAATAAAGGGCAAAGATCACTTTTAGCCTACGGCCAAATATATTTATATCCGTTAGTCTTAAAAGTATATAAAATTTGTATATTTTTTGTATATAACATACATTATATATATATATATATATATATATATAAAATATATTTTTTAACTATTATTTTAAAAGCGGCTATACAGTTTCATTTTTCCTTAAATAAATAAATAGAATCGTTGAGTGTTAGAGACTTCTCAAAGGTTATTTACGAAGTCTCCTTAAGGTGGCAAGAAAATTTATATATAGACAAAGAAATATATAGGTTGTACTATACGAAAGCTAAAGCCATATGAGAAAATTGAAGAAAATTAACACGATAATACAAACTTTAACCAAATGAAACGCAACAACAACGTGGTATTGGCCAAATTTATGTTGTCTTCATTCTGAAAGTGTTTGGGATGGTTTACCAAGTTGTTTTTGGAGTTTTGACTTCAAATATTTATTTAAGATGTTTAAACACGAAAGGTGCTAAAGAAAGAAAATTTTGAGAAATTCAAACTTGTTGAACAATTTAATAGTATTCATTTTAGTTTAGTACAAGACATGGATCATCTACATAACACCCAAAAAAAAAAAGGAAATGCCATAAGAACTTCTAGATCAAATGAAACGTGCAGCTAAGAAACGCCAACTCTTTCCATCGGGAGGATTACTGTGACTACAATTGTAGGCATGGCCAAAGTTAGAAGGACAGTTACGGATTACGCCGAACTTAGTAACTTTAATATAAATTTTATATTTGTATTAAAAATTTATTATACATACATAAAAATTAAACTCAAAACCTAGTTACTAAAATCTACGGTTGCTAGCAGATAGTGGCATTATCTATTTCTATTGGCCGCCCCTTTGTCACTGTCCCATTGCATTCTTGTGCGTGAATGAGGTGGCGTTCTTATGGCAACAATGTGCTCAATAAGGTTGAGTATATCCGCATCGTACTTAATAAATACGGCAAAGGCCAAATATAACATGTATTTTCGAAAATGGTCTAAGAATATCTCTCGTTATACTATTTGATCATTTATACCTCTTCCATCATACTTTGGAATAAATATACTCTTATTTTGGATGGAGTGCCATGTGGCAGCACCAGATGAAAACGACTCATTTCTTTTTTTTACCCGATCCGTTTTAAAAAATTCACCATCCAACCCGTTTTAAAATTCAGTTTTTTTAGCTTTTTTAAAGCTTATGTTTTGTAAAAACTGGAAAAAAAAAAAAAGAAATTTACAAAATATATATTTTTAAGTTTTTTCAAAGTATTGTTTTTGTAAAAACTGAAG